CATCCTTTCCTTCACACCCAAATAGCTGAGATTTATACTTGTTTCATGATTTGTGGATGTTCATCCAGCCCAAAATGCAAGGATTTCATAGGTTTGGATCATCCCCTCATGGGCCATCTTCCCGTGCCTTCTTTGCCATCAGAGATTGTTCTGCCTGTGCGACGTGTAAAATTGCTTGCCGCTTTCAAACGTTTCAACTAGTTTCAACCCATCTTCCAAATATAGAGGATGATAGTTGGTTACAGTCTATAGTTCAGGACACATTTTCGATTTACCATCATTTTTGGCCAGTGGGTTTGCAGTATACTACCAAATCAACGGCGTCCAGAAAATGTAGGTGCAATTGTGCTGTCTACGCATGCCATATGCATGCAAAATCCAGCTGGTTCGTGGTTGAGCCATTCCTATGGCAGCAAATAAAATACCTTCGGTCCAAGAATGATTCATTGTTAAAAACTCCTGGCGATGCAAATGCTGTTGCATGAGCCAAGAGCGATAAGAACAGTTGATGGCGGCGCGAGTCAATCCGCACGCCGCAGCTACTGACAACTGCAGCAATAAAGGAAAAAGGGGCGGTATCAACTAGACTAACTAGACATTAAACATATTTGAACAGTTTCGAAACCACCACCGAGCCAGCCATGCCTGGACCCCCACCACTGTTCCATTGCTGGATCCATTACTGGCACCTGCTCTTGGCTGATGAGCTTTTGCTGCACCTTTTGCTCCAGCTCTGCTTTGTCTTGGCTTAGCAAGGCACCTTGGGACTCAAAGTTGTTGAACATGCCCCATGTATAGTGATTTACCTATTTAAAGTTGTGATTTTACGTAAGTATGTTGGTTTACCAGAGGGCAGCATGGCTGCTTGACAATTGATGATCATTGAGCCTGGCCATGATCAAAGGAGCTGCCATCGTTGAACTACCATTGATTCCAAATTGATCTGGCACAACCACCTCACCTGTACATTCCCCTGGCCCTCGAACCCGGCAATAGAATATCACGGGTGACTTACCACATTCTTTATCGAGGGTGGATGGTTTTAGTGAGGGTGGAGGCTCTTCACTGAGGGTGGAGGCTGCAATGTATCAACCAAGTCACACTTCTCCGTTAAACGATGTGCTTCTTGGCTTTGGGATTTCAGTTCCGCCTGGCGCGATCCACACGGTCCGAACCATTTTTGTGGAAACCACACTGACAAAGCCAAATCTAGCTTGGCAAGCGCTTGCAAAAACCCTCAAAAAGCAAAATGGAGCCTTGTCTGGCTTACTATATGTATGTTTTATGTATGCTTGCCCACAAGTCCTAGTGATCATAGTGCTTCCTTGTAACATCGTAGCATGAACTACCATCAAGCCAGTGCACCGACCGGCGCTGCCTTGGCACGAAGTTCCCGTTCTTCAACTGCCACATATGCCTGGGCCGGGTGCAATCTCAGCAGGTCATTTTACAATTTCTGCATCTCACAACGGTGCTACAGTGGTCAAATGCCACCGTACATTTACATAGCTTGAGAGAGATCTTCAACGTTGAACCAACGCTAACACCGCCAAACCAAAAAACATGTGGTTCCAACCGGCCTCAAAGACAGTATTTCAAGTGGACACGTCATCCCAGGTGGAGATGGTTTTCGAAAATGGGGTACCGCAGGTCACCATGGATGGTCTAATGACTGGGATCATTTGGGGTACCCCCATGACTTAAGAAATCCCCACATCTGAAATTCTTAACTTCACCACCGGCGCCTTTTCTGCTTCAGTGGCCCGCTGTTCAGCGTCTAGCTGCAGAGTATTCGCCTCGCGCACCGTAGAGGGGATGGGTCAAAATTACAATACCAAAATGGCTGATTAGAAGTTTTGTTCATCCCCCCAAATATATGTGTGCATATAATATTATATAATACGTTCGGATGCCCTTTCTCTATATGTTTTGCTTGTTTAATTGCATCGATCCCTTGAAGGGCAGTGACTCTGGATGACACTGATTCCGCCGCAAGCCGCGCCCATGCCTCCTTTTGCTTTGCCTCTGCACATGTGCAAAGTTCCTGCATCAAAGGAATCACCCAGACAGCCAGTCTGACAATGACACTAAGGATCACTAAGGTCAACAACATCGGCAGGGAAAACAGCCAACAAAAATAGAACCATTCATTGGAAACTGTGGGGTGGTTCAAAAACATCCTAAGAATATTCCAATCATTTTTGGGTTGCTATCCCAACTTCAACCACAAAACCGCTCCAGGCATTCTTGCAACTCCAGAAGTTCAAAAATCAAAGAGGCAGCAAGGTTTGGCCAGCTACAACCGTCTAAAAAAACATAAAAATAAATAAATAAATAAATAAATAAATATGAATTATATATATATATGTGTGTGCGTGCGCGTGTCTCCATCGCCATTATATATATAAATATATAATGTGTGTGTGATTTCCCTTATTTGTCTGCACCATCCCCGCACTTGTTCTTCTTCCGTCCTCAGCAACCTTGAGCTCCTGAGCTCATGCACATAGGTTTTTACCCTGTTACCATGGTTGGCAAGGATCCATTGACCACATGAGTGGACATTTTTGAAGTTTTACATGGGTTTATCGTATATGGGCTGGCCATAAATGGCTATACTAAACACCATCCCATTCTGCGGTCAAAACAATTATCAGCCGTAGGACCGATCTATATAAGTTTAAAAAAGTTCTGGAAAGGCAGGGGTTTGTCGTCGGTTCATCTTGGTTCGTCTTCTCATGTCCCCTTCATTTCTTGGGAGGGGAGGTCTCAACCCTTTGGCACCGCACTCATCCGCACTCCTGCTGCAAAGTCTGAACTTGGCATTTGGTTTCTTCCTTTGAGGCGATTGCAGCAGCTGCAGCCTGCCCAAGATATCCACGATGCAGGGCACGATGGGATGAAGCATGAAGTGATGGTAACCCACAAGAAATTGTGTTTCAGCTTGCAAAAAAAATCGAAACAACCAAAAGTTCAAAACAATTTCAATCACCCTTTCGGGAAACTCCTGGGAAGTTTGATCATATTTGATGATGCACACAGATCATAATAAAAGAATATCATGCTCAAACATCATCATCAAAAGTGAACGATAATTACATATCATAATTAGTATAATAATTAGTAAAACTAACTAACAAACTGAATAAATAAATTATATATATATAATAATTATCACAACCAAATATTATCATCAAATCATAATCACATATATCCGAACATACTGATGATGGTTGTGAAATCCTGCGCCAGTTGGAAACTCTTGGGCAACATATAGTTCAAGACTGCAAATCATGCATTGGCGCAGGATTTCGTAACCATCCGCAGTATGGACTATCTAGAATAAATGTTTTGTTATCTTTGAAGTGATCAAAAATGATGTTCTATGTCCAAGACGATAGGCAGCAAACAACGGTTCTTTTTCTAGATCTAACAACAACATAACACTTTCTCCGCAGAAAGACATCCCGGATTGTCATCTTCTTTCTGCCCAGAGGACTCACCAATTGACCCTGAAGTTGAATTACGATCACAAATCACAGGCGAAGGTTGAATATAGACTGAGATAATTTTCTTTTTATACTCATTATCCTATCATCAAATCCTACTATCATCACATATCAATAAAACATAAAATGGCCTAAATATCATTATCATTCAGGATCAATATTATGTATTCAAGTATCACAGGAATAGATGAAACATCAGGGTAATGATGGTAGTCATGAAAATATCAAAATGCATTCATCTATTCATCATCCTCATCATCATACATCATCCTCACTATCTATTCAAAATATCATTTCATAAACAAAACATATATAGATCAAATAATTTCCAAGTATCTAACCATCAGTATCACCATTATCTATCATTTATCTATTCATCTGTTCATCTATATTCATTAATTATCATCATTACTACTATATTGCAGTATCATGGCTCACCAGTATCATAATTACTGTTCATATCACTACTATTATATATGTTATCATCATGGCCGCATATCAACAAGCCATACATTATAGATGATGGACCCATACTATTGCATATCGTTACTATGATCATAAGCCATAATGACAATGGCCCCAAATATAGGAACGATATAGGAATGATTCTTTCCCCAGGACTGATATACTATATACCATCATATTATTACATATCATTACTATTGTATTAAAGAATATCACAGATGATGGCCCCACATATAAAAGCCAGTTTATATAAGAATGATTTCCCCAGAAAATAATGATAGTATATATATATAATATAAATATATATATATATAATAACGGCTATTCTTTCCCCATCGCCTCCCATCCCCGGGTTCCTCCTGGGCGTTCCGTGCATCCTCCTCCGCCTTGGCCGCCGCGCTGCGCAGCTCGGTGTTGAGCTGCCCGGTCCTCCCGGGGACGAGCGCTAGGGTCCCTTGGGCACACGCATGGAGGTAGCAACAGAAAAACCGGATGAAAACCACGTGAAAAAACCCTATGAAAACTGCATGAAACCAATGACAGCCATAGAAAAACACAATGAAACCATAGAAAACCAAGTATCTTATGGGGATCTGTTGGGGGGATTATGGAATTTAAGGATGTTTAAGGGGGAAATTGGAGTACAAACCCAATATTGTGCGATATATTGGGATATGATGGTAGGCAACGGGAGATAAGTAGCATTTGGGGATACCCCAAAATGGCAAGTTTTCATGGGGAACATGCTCACACAATGTGGTACAATCCTCATGAATGAAACATCATCAACGGCAACCTCCTGAACGATTGATCCACAACAAGAATCGGAGAAAACATCTCCCAGCGAAAACACAATCTTACGAATCGTGGGAGGAGATTAACTTCCAAACAAGGTTAACCAACAAGTCCTCTAGATGAATCCACCGAACCGTTCTAAAACCAAAATCTCATTCTTCTCCCTGTCCCAAGGATGTTACACGATGTTACAGTGGTCCATAGAAACACCTTCTCCCAACCCACTTGAACTCATCCAGTTCCATCATCTCTCCCTTCCACCGCGATCCATGGCAGTCCCATGGCGGTCCTTTGCAGTGCAGCAGTTTGAACCTCCAGCTGCGCAAAGCTGCTGCGCTGTGCCTTCTGCGCTTCCTCCAACTCCTTCCGCAGCTGCGAGGCCTCACGTTGGTTCCAATGGGACCACTGGGTCTGGAAGAGCCTGGGAAGGCTGGGGGATGAGGCTCTCTTAAGTTGCAATGTTTTTTTCCCAAAAGCATCTCCGATGCTTGGGTTCGTTTAGTTTAAACTTTGCCGCGGGGGAGCGGCACTTCAGCGACGATACGCTGGACGGACGGGAAACCGTGGAAAATAGCTTGAGGAGAGCTCCTATGGGAGGGAGCGAGGCGGAAGCATACGGGAAACCGTGAGAAATAGCTTGGGGAGAGCTCCGTTGGGAGGGACGGAAACGACGACACGGTGGACGGACGGAAACCGTGGGAAATAGCTCGGAGCGAGCTCCGTTCAGAGGGAGCGACACGGAAGCGTGATGGTGGACGGACGGGAACCCATGGGAAATAGCTTGGGGAGAGCTCCATTGGAGGGACGAGACAGAAGCGTAGCTCCGTTGGGAGGGAGCGTGATGGAAGCGTGGACATGGTGGACGGACGGGAAACGGTGAGAAATATAGTTCGCAGGCCATCCGCCCTTCACTGCCATGGTGCTTCAGTGTCCGTTCAATCATTTTGGAGCTTTTGGATTCAGAAAGCGAAGTTAGGCACGACCAGCTGCAGGCCGCAGGTGCCATCCGTCCTTCACTGCCATGGTGTTTCAGTGTGGCGAAGGGTCCATGTTGGAAGTCTGGGAAATAATTTTGGATCTAGTTCCTTATGGATTCAGAAAGCAACGTTAAGCGCGACCAGCTGATGGTGTTTCAGTGTGGCGAGGGGGTCCCTTTTGGAAGCCTGTGCAATCATTTTGGAGCTAAGTTTCTTGTCACTTCAGAAAGCGACGTTAGGCACGACTAGCTGCAGGCCGTAGGTGCAACAGCAACAAAATAATCCATCCCCAGCCTCTGGGGTGGGCGGCGGGGGGCAGGAAGCCCCTTAATAAAAGTTAGAGAAGTTTAGGAATTGCACATCGGTTCATTGTGCAAAGACCGACATGGTACTGAGTTGCCCCCCCTGTTGCCATCAGTACGCCCCCGCCCTCCAACCTCCTGCGACATTGCGACTTGCACTTCGGCCAGTCTTGCCTGAGGGTGACTTCCAACTTAAGGGTAAAAGCATCTTCCAAGGCAATTTGTTTATCTTTTTGGGCACTTCTGTCCCATAGAGTTCTGGCCTTTTACCAATTATAATTCATTATATAAGTCAGCTTCAACGCCATGTATGAAACAAAAGGAAACAAAAGGCACATTTACAATTTATGACGATTTATAACCATTTCTTTATTATCGTCGAAAAACATTTCGAACTGGTAAAGGGCCTTATAACTGCAGGTTTCAATGTGCCCATCAGCGCCTCCGCTTCGGACTTCATCTTTGCAACCAGCTCCTTCGGCCGGAGCATCTAACGGAACACTACGGAAAGCCAGCCCTAAAGACGAGCCAAAAGTTCGACTCCAGGAACAATATCAAGACACCCAGCCAATTTTATTTCATAGGCGTGGAAAATGAATGCATTCCTGAAAATGAACTAATGGAATGGAACAAACCTTTCTTTTTGACCCATTTTCTGGGTTGCAATTTGTGATTTCTGGGGGTTAGTCATGCCAACTCGTGCAGGACTCACAGGCAATGGCACCTTCTGCTGCAGTTGGCTTTGCTTCAAGTGATGCTTCAGAACAGCCTGAGGGTCAGAGCTGGCCATGTCGCATCAAAGGCAGGTGTATTATGGCATTCCACCTTTCTTTTGGATGATTGACAATTTGATGCACCAAAAAACCAACCATCATTCCCCACTGTCTGCTAACTCTTTTGGGGCGGCCAGAATGATACAGTGAAACTTACTCCCCTTTTTTACTGAACTTTTCAATGCAAGACATGATACACGTCTCACACTTCCACCATCTTCCGCTCTGCCACGCCACGTTCTTGGTGCGCCAATGGCGACGATCCTTTCGCTCCTCGGCATCCAACTTGGCAATGGCTTGCAGCAGCTCCTGCCATGGACAAGACGTGGTCTTGGTGCATGATTCACCGGCTGCAATACTACACATTTCCCATCCCAAGATATCCCAAAATTACAACTTATCTGACCTACAAGCGGCAGGGTCAAGTCATAGCATCTCGTCTTAAGTCATTGCCGGGGTCCTGTTTCTGCATGTGTACGCTGCAAATGGTTTAAGTCACGGCCGCTCGTTTTAAGTCATAGCCGCATGATGCCTTTCTCCATGTGTACGCGGCTTCGACCGAGGCTCATATTATACTGTTTTTGATCAGTTCAGCATGGAAATCCTATTCATGGCATATGGTTTGGGTATGTGTTCCTCATGTAACTCACCATGTAACCGCTTGATAAGTAGGGGATAGTAGGGGTATGGTTGTACTCTTTGAAATCTACCAAGCAAACCCAAAACCCTTGAAACCGCAGGACATTGGAAAAAGACGAACTTTTCCGGAAAAAGTCGAACTTTTGGTTTTCTGGAATTTCAACAAATTATGAGAATCATACATATACCATTGCAGCCATGGAAATCCTGGATGGAGACTATATGGTACATACAGTTCTGCATGATTTGTGCATGTGCTAGCGTACATTATAGTACAAAGAAATTGATATATCTATATAAGTTATACTGTATATATACAATATATAGATATAGACATATACTTCACAAACGATGTATATATACATGCTTCCTATCAAATTATACACGTGCATGTCACACAAGATTTAAAAATGTTGATTGCAATGGCAGATTGCAAAACTATAAAATAGTTGGGATTATATGTAAGGGACCACACATGAACTTGAAAAATTCATCTATGTAGGTGGATCGGTGGATCAGCTTTAACTCACATCCATCCTATATAAGACATGCATTATAAAGCATGTATCGAATTGTCTTCTAGCATTGGGCCCTGGCTCTGTTTGCAAAGTGAAGGAAATGATTATGCATACAGTCCATCAATATAAGGTAATGGACCACCAAAATTCAATCTTGAACAATCAAAATCATGCTTTTCATGGGATATTGCCAAAAGTCGAACTTTTGGCAAAAAGTTGAACTTTTCCCATGTTGATGCCAATAGACGAACTTTCCAGCTTTGTACTGCAAATTCATGGACTTGGGGCTCCATAGGTATAAACGCAATCAAAATCAAATCGTTTTTGTAGGGTTGAAAGCGCTCCGGAAACTTTCAAACATATTGGAGACGCTATCCCCAGGATGCTTCAGCCCCCTGTGTCCACCAAAGACTTTCGTTCTCCATTTGCATGGTTTTTGATACGATTTTCGTTCACCCGATGCCTGCGCCCGGCATGGGAACACATGATTCATGCATGCTTTGGTAACACAACCCAATGGCCCAACGATTCTAGAAAGAAAGTAGAACTGATCCCCTACGTAGGTTTTTGTCACAAGTTCCGAACGACGTCAAAAGGAGGTCAAAACAAGCTACCAAACGAGGTCAGAAACTAGCCTTGGAAACCCCTGCTCCCAAAAGCAATGCAAAATACAGAGCCAGAACCTAGCTGTGGCTTTTATCTGCTTCTTCGTGCTTCTACGTATATTCGGAAAGCTGAGCCACATCAATATCATCAATGAACCTTTCAGTTTGATGAATCGCACAATTCGCCTGTGGGGAAGCCGATCTAGCAACAGTCTAGCAGCAGTCCAGCGGCGGTTTAGTAGCAGTCTAGCAGCTACCGAGCAGAAGTGGGGCAGCAGCCTAGGCCTTAGGAGAAGCATGCTAGCAGCAGTTTGTTAGAAATCTGCCAAGCACTCTTTGAGCAGTAGTTGCAGCAGTTTACCAGCGGCCTGGTAGCATTCTAGAAACAATCTGTAGCAGCAATCTAGAAGCAGTCCGGCAGCAGCCGGGCAGCAGTGTGCACGCTGGCCATTGTGACACCTAGCAAACATTTAGCAGCACTTCAGTGGCAGCTTAGCACCAGCCCAGCAACAGTCTATCTAGCAGCACGTCAGCAGCAATTTTGCAGCAGCGTAATGAAATCGACCAGCAATCTGTCAGCAGTTTGGAGCAGTCCAGCCTGCAGCGATCCAGTAGCAAACGACTTCTGAAAACAGCCGAGTAGCACTCGCTCAGCAGCACCCCAGCAGCAGTCTAGCAACAATGTCGCACCAATTCTAACTTTCTAAAATGCATTACCGAACAATATACGGAAGAAAAGCACCGCAAGGCACACGCTCACCCAAGACCAAAATATCAGAATCGGTTCAACATATACTATCATAAGATCAAGCTTTTGAACATGCAGTTCTTCAAGGCACACGCTGGTCCGCTATGATAAAACTGCAATGCTACGACTTTACCCCGGGACCCAGTAGGTTGACAATGCAACAAATCCATCCTATTTTTTTGGAAGCTCTCCATGCAAAAATATATGGGTTCCTAGCCCGCAAATCTCCACAGGGCCACCAAAATAGGGCACATGAACTGGTGCCCAAATAGGCTACTGGGCACCGTCCTGCTTTGAGTCTTCCAGCAAGGTCGCCTGCTTCAGGCGGAACCAGGGCGGAACTGTTTGTGACATTGCAAAGCCCGACATATCAATCCATGAAATACTGGCTGGTAAGTAGGGAATCCGATAATGGCATGAATGGGTGAATATAACGCCTACATAAATTGTAGTATAATTAACCTACAATCATCAACCACAGGGGTTCGTAATCTCCAAACAAAACATCACGCAACTATTGGCAATCTGGGGATATAACATGATATCACATGTGATATCATCTCCAACAAATACCTGTGATTTTCAAAGGTTGCCGGAAAGCATCGAAAAGCGCTGCCTCCTCCCTCAGCTGTGTGCTGCGAACTTCTTCCCGCCCCAAGGCGCTGCGGATCTCCTCCAAATCCTGCGAGACTGATGGAGCCATGTGGGTGGCATGACCCCAAAAACCCGAGGAATTCTGGGATTTTTCCATAGGAATTCCATGTTTCTTCAAATTTCTATAGGTTTCTATAGGTGTTCTATAGACTTTCTATGCTCTTGATTTTTGATGGCAAAATTTTGGAATCAATGATTTTTGCATGGATGTGTTCATCCGTCTTCATTTTTACAGGCAGTATTGAGGTATACAGATACATGATACTCTCATGTGTGCGTGTCTTTCTTTAAACATGCCATAGTGTTCAGGTAAATACACAAATATATATATATATATCATTATGTCATTATGATGATGATGATGATGATGATTATTGTTATTATTTTATATATAATTAATTCATCCTCTACAGCTGAGTGCTTGCATGCTTGCGGGCGTATGACATACCGTGTGATTGTCTTCATTCGGTCAATGGTCATGCATTCAGAAGCGAAATACTAAGCTTCTTTTGGGGGGCTGCAATTGACAGCACGCGTATTGGCCCAGTTGTTCCATAAATTGAAACTAGACCTGGGCTTTATCTCAACGATCTATTAACCTCAATCATTCAGCTCTAAAATGAAGTGAAGCATGTCAAGTTGGGACTCCGACTCCAAACCAGGCCAAACATGAGCAACAGAAACAACCTGAAAAACGTGAGGGACCATATCTTTGGCAATGATTTTACATTACATTACTGTACACTATTATTATTATGATTAATTATTAATTATTATATAGTTTCATATAGTTGACATATAATTTCCCCAGAGTGCAAGAAACGATTAGAACTCCTGAGTAAGAAGAAAGCGGTTCCAAAGCCCAACATAGCAACACCTAGCTACCAACACACACCCACCCCCAGCTCTATCATTGAATCATGCCCTGCCCCCCAGCCTTCTGCAGTCGTGACTTTTCATCACGATGATCCTTCTGCAAGATCTCAAGCCGTTCCTGCCCCGTGTGAAGCAGCTGTGGACGTGGTGCAGGGCACACTTTTCAACCAGTTCAAGGGAAAAATCGTAGGATAACATGGATAACCCACAATACAACCCATTCCATTCCCACCACACCAATTCCAGAGCCTCAGCTGCCTCCCGTTCTTCTTCCAACACCCGGCTGGTGTTGGCCTTCAAACGCAAGGCCTAGGGGCCGTGTGTTTCGAAGCCATGCCAAACATGCTGTCCCTAGTTGCTGCGAATGATTAAACACATGTGTCACTGGGTCATGAACTGGTCGATCATGGAATGATCATGGTAGCGGTTTTACTATGATTTGCACAAGCTTCACACATCATTATAACAACCAACAGCCATAGCCATCCGCTCAGTGACCTACCTGAAGCTTCACCCGAATCTTCAAGCGCTGCTCAAGGGAACTGAGTTTTTTCACCTACCAGCTGCAGGAATCTCGACCCTGGCATCTTCAACAACTGGTGCTTTCCAGTACCCAAGGATTTTGTGTCACTTCTTTGGCTTCACGGTTTCATCCAAAAGCACGGGAAAACCAGAACCCCCCAAGGGTTTGCGTCTCAGGCTGCACCCGGCTGCACCTTCTTCTCGGATTCCAAGCATTTTCCTTCCACCTCTGCCACTGCCAGTTGCGCAGACATGTCCTCAGCTGTCCACCGAGATTGGCCACACTGAAAAAATTGTATCATATCAATTTGATATGAAGAATGTTCGAAGGAAGTTTAGAAGTCAAACTTCCAACAATATGGACATTTGAAAAGCAGAGATGGGAAGGGTCAGAGAGAAGAGAAGAGTAGAAGAGAGAAGATCAGAGAAGAGAAAGAGTCAGAAGAAAGAAGATGCAGATGCGCGAAAAAGTCGGAAAGTCGCGAAACACTGTTTTTCCAATGATTTGTGGCTCCGGAGGGTCGAAAAGTAGGCTCGCTAAAGCGGCGGGTGCGGAGCTGGCCAGATGAGAGATGAAAAATTGCATGCCGTTGTGGCGCGAAGCACGTTTCCAAGTCAAAATGTACAAAGCACACCAGGTCCGGACCACTTTTGGAAGTTGAGATGTTGAAAAAGTGCACACTGTTGTGGCGCAAAGCACATTTCCAAGTCAAAAGTGCAAAAAACTGACGGGTACGGAGCACTTTTGGACGTTCAGACGTGCTTTCGCGTGGCTGGCATCAATTTTTCGTGGCAGGCGCAGTACTTTAGACAGGTGGAGTGGAAAAATCGCAAAACGCATTGGTACGAGGCTGTCAGCTCTGCACTCAACTTTCCATTTTTGAAGGAAGTCTCGCAGAATTCATTTGTTTTTGATGTTGTTAAATACAAAAATTGAAGAAGTCTCGCAGAATTGCTTCGTTTTGGATGTTGTCCAGTTCAAAAAATGAAGAAGTGTCGCAGAATTGCTTTCGTTTTTGATGTTGTCAACCTCGAAAAATGAGGAGTAAGTCACGCAGAAATTGCTGCGTTTTTTGATGTTGTCAAGTCTGAAAAATGGGGAAGTCACGCAGAATTGCTGCGTTTTTTTGTTGTTAATGTTGTCAACTTTGAAAAATGAGGAAGTCACGCAAAATTGCTGCGTTGTTTTTTCCCGAATGCGTAGCAAGGGTTCCCGTTTCACTCTGGGGGTCTGGGGGTTGAGGGTGTGTTCGCTCGACGTTGCCTTCACGGTCGCAACCGTCCGCAACCGTCCGCAACCGTCCGCAACCGTTCGTGTGAGGGCCGTATGGCCGTGCCTATGGGAAGTTCTGCAGGAGGGATCATTTTTGGAGGTTTCAGACGTCTGGTTGCTTCGTTTCGCGTGGCAGGCGTGGCACTTCGTTACATTCAGCAACGTTCTGTAACGTGTCGAAAGTCGTTTTGCGTGGCAGGCGCAATACTTTTGCGACGTTTTGCGAAGATGCGTGGCAGATTTCGTGCCAGGCGCAGCACTTTCGACGTGTCCATCGTCATTTTTCGTGGCAGGCGCAGCACTTTAGACGTGTCGTGTTGCGTGTTTTTTGTAAATCGCATTGGCAGGGCTGCGTCAAGTGGCGACAAGGTGCAAATTCCGTGGCAGTCATGGCATTTTGTGCGATGTGCTGAAAATTGACGGAAGCCTCGCACGAAACATCGATTTTGAGGTTGCAAATTTTCATGTTCTAAGGAAAACTCGTAGGAAAACGTCGATTTTGAAGCTACAAAGTGTGAAAATTGGAGGAAGTCTCGGACGAAATGCTCGTTTTGGCGCTCCCACGTGTCTCGTCTCGCGTCTCTGGTTTTCCGGTGGCCTCGCCGTGTCTATGGGGGAAGCTGCAAAACATGTCTCTTCGGCATGTTTCAAAGTGTGAAAATTGGAGGACGTCTCGCACGAAATGCTCGTTTTGGTGCTTCCACGTGTCTCGTCTCGAGTCTCTGGTTTTCCTGTGGTTTCGCCGTGTCTATGTGGGAAGCCGCAAAACCTCTCTCCTTTTCAAAGGTTTCCACGCAGGTTGTCATGTCGTTTTGCGTGGCAGGCGTGCCACTTTGTGACATTCCAACCTGTTTAATAACATGTCGAACATGTAAAAATTGGAGGAAGTCTCGTACAAAATGCTGATTTTTCTGTATCCACATATCTTGTCTCGAGTCTCTGGTTTTCCTGTGTCGTCGCCGTGTCTATGGGGCAAGCTGCAAAACATCTCTTTTTGAAGGTTTCCACGCAGGTTGTCATGTCGTTTTGCGTGGCAGGCGTGGCACTTCGTGACATTCCAACCTGTTTGCTAACGTGTCGAAAATGTCAAAATTGGAGGAAGTCTCGCCCGAAATGCTCGTTTTTCCTGCACCCACGTGTCTCGTCTCGAGTCTCTGGTTTTCCTGTGGCGTCGCCGTGTCTATGGGGGAAGCTCCGCACTCCACACTCTACATTTTACACTCCACACTCCACAATTTACAATATAGACTCCACACTTTACACTTTGCACTTTACACTCCTGACTCCTCACTCGAGACTTTACACTCCACACTCCACACTTTACACTCCACACTCCTCACTCTACACTTTGCACTCTACACTTTACACTCTACACTTTACACTCTACACTTTACACTCTACACTCCACACTTGACATTTTACACTCCAGACTTTGCACTTTACACTCCTCACTCCACACTTTACACTCCACACTTTACACTCCACACTCCTCACTCTACACTTTACACTCTACACTTTACACTCTACACTCCACACTTGACATTTTACACTCCAGACTTTACACTTTACACTCCTCACTCCACACTTTACACTCCACACTCCTCACTTTACACCCCACACTCCTCACTTTACACTCCACACTCCACTCCACAATTTACACATTATACTCCTGACTCCTGACTCCACACTCCACACTCTACACTCCACACTCCACACTTTACACTCCGCATTCCCCACTCCACAATTTACACATTATACTCCTGACTCCTGACTCCACACTCCACACTCTACACTCCACACTCCACACTTTACACTCCACACTCCACACTCTACACTTTACACTCTACACTCTACACTCTACACTCCACACTTTACAGCTTAAATTCCACACTTTACACTTTACACTCCTCACTCCTCACTCCACACTCCACACTTTACACTCCACACTCCACACTCTACACTTTACACTCTACACTTTACACTCTACACTCCACACTTTACACTTTACACACTCCACACTCCACACTCCACACTTTACACTCCACACTCCACACTCCTCACTTTACACTCCACACTCCACACTCTACACTTTACACTCCGCACTCCACACTCCACACTTTACACTTTACACTCCGCACTCCTCACTTTACACTTTCCACTCTACACTTTCCACCCCACACTCCGCACTCTACACTTTACACTCCACACTCCACACTCCTCACTTTACACTCCACACTCCACACTCTACACTTTCCACCCCACACTCCACACTCTACACTTTACACTCCACACTCCGCACTTTACACTCCACACTCTACACTTTACACTTTACACTCCAAACTCTACACTTTACACTCTACGGCGCTTTACACTCTACA